TATTATTATTATTATTATTATTATCATTATTATTAAGTCAGACTAACCTTGCCATGCCGGGCTCGGCGCAGATCGCAAGAAACTGAAAGCGAAACAGGAACATGTAGACCCAAATAAGGCACACACGCGCATGCGCACAAAACCGCCAAGAGAGATAGGGAGAGGAGTATATATACAGGGGCGGATTCAGACCGTATTTGCCGTATTGGGAAATACGGTCTAGTTTTCAAAGTGCCCTTCGATATTTACAGAAAATACAAAAAATACAGAAAACAATTTGATGGAATTTGGCTATATTCTTTATTTGTTTTCGTTTTCTTCTGATTCATTGGCAGGACTTGAAGGAAATCAAAATTTTACATGGTAACAAAACTAGCTTTTATATCTGAAAAAGAAGGGAATTAAGTGCTTGAATCATTCTGCATTAATTGCTGGTATGCAAAGCGCAGGCAAAATGAAGCAGAAATAAAATTTCATATGGTTTTTAGCTATTGCTGCTTGACTAAATGTGTGCTCAAATGGTGCTCATTTTTGTGCCCAGGGACCCTTGAAATTTTGAAATTTCCCCAGACCCCCCGCCATGTACTTCGCGCCTAGCGCCGCTCATTGTGGGGTGGTGTGCGCTTTTTGGAGGATGTGCCCAAAAAGCCCCCTGGAAAAATACTGTCTAGCCTCAGCCCTGGATCCGCCCCTGATATAGAGAGTAATAGAGAGCGAGAGTGATACAGAGATAGGGGGTAGAGGTGGGTAGAGTGGAGGGCATGGGTTTATGAAGGACATATTTGCATATAACTATCTAACTATGTATGTCTCCGATATCAAGGCCAATAGGTGTGTGATCTAACAGCTGTAGGCTCATATATATACATGTATATAGATATATATATATATATATATATATATTATGGATTTATATACATGGATCGGTGTAGTCGCTAGGTTTAGCCTTTCGCGAGCATCTAGCACTAACAACATTACACGAAACGTGCCAGCAGGGGGCGCTGGTCGAGCCTTACCCGTCGCCGAAGTCGACGATCTCAGCGTAGTGGGTGTGGCTGTCGTCCTTGGCAACGAACGTGATGCAGGTGGACTCCTGGATGGTGGTCATCGCGGCCTGTATAGCCTGCACCCCGTCGCCACCTATACAGATATATATATATATATATGGTATGTCGTATGATATAGACAGTATAGAGAGAAGAAGAAGAGTAAGGGAGGGCGAGAGGGATAGGTGGGAGACAGATACAGTGTGTGAGGGAGAGGAAGAGAGAGAGAGAGAGCGATGGGGAGAGAAAGAGAGAGATTAAGAGGGGGGGAGGGGGAGAGAAAGAGAGAGAGGGAGAGGGGGCGGGGAGAGAGACAGATTACAATACATAATGCCCCCTGCGGCTATAGGAATAG